CCATTGCCTTTAGGTGCCTTTTTGTTTACTTGTAATTCTGCATGCCATAGGTGGGTGCTCAGGGACTTGCAGAGGGTCTTAAGTTTGCCAACTGTGTACTACTACCCAGTGTCTGGACAGAATGCCACCCGGTCATTCCTTCCGCAGAGGAAACCACGTCCCTGGTGTTCTTCCATCTTACTGATTCTTCGCCTGTTTCTGAATGCTGCTGGAGATGGGCCCATGCAGTGCGTTCCTGCGAGACTGGCACGCTGTGCTCACGGGCATCTTGGGGACCAGCTCCCTGGTGATGTGAGTGGTTGTAGCTTCATCTTGCTGTGTGGCCATCCTTTTCCTCGGTCAGCGGTCACCGTATCCCTCTCCTCCAGTCAGTATCGTGCATGCCTCCTCCCTTACAGATGCAGGCAGGATGGGAGTACAGGCATTGGGGAAGATCGCACAACTTGCTACACTCAAACCCTGGTTCTTCCTGCTTTGGGAGCGCACGCACATGCAAGATAGCTCCCACCCAGTTATCTTGATTAAAGGCGCCACATGCCTTCAGTCCCAAGCACTCAGGAGGCAGAGGCAGGCTGGTCTAAATTCAAGACCAGCCTAGTCTACAGAGTGAGTTCCAGGACAACCAGGGCTACGCAGAGAAGCCCTGTCTTGAAAAAAAACAAAAACAAAATCAGAAAAAGATGATTCTTATCACAGGCCAAAGAGCCAGTGTCTGACAGGTGTGTATGGCTCTGGAGATGTAGGCCGTGCCAGGCAGCACACAGCCAGGTGTCGGGCAGCATTCCCGTAGAGGAACAGGCCAAGGCTGCTGCATCCTGGGCTGCCCTGGACACGCTATGCCTTTGGCCAGACGCCTGGTAGCCTTTTAGGGCAGTTCAGCCTCAGCAGGGCCTGGTTCCCTTCCGAGGGAAGACAGCACTGGGGGCTGAGGAGGGTGCTGTGCTGGCTCATGTCTTTGTCCTAACATCACAGTGGCATACACTCTGCCTTCCTGGGTGCTCCTGAAGGGAGCTGCCCAGACAGCGGCAGTCTGGAAGCAAAGTTCCCAAATCCTCTGGCCTAGGTTTAGAAAACCTTGTTTCCCGATTTTCTAGTGCCCTGGGCGCCTCTGTTGCTGATCCAGTGTCCTGGTCTTACAGGCCTCTGGGAGGTGGGCGGGGCAGAGACCGGCATTGGCCTGGCCCGGTCTGGCCTGAGCGCTGTGCTGGAACCCATCGCCTTATATGACATCTGCTGGGAGGACTCCAGTGGCTTCTGCATCTTTGCTTGCCTGGTTTGAGTTCTGGAAAAGCTTTGCCAGGTGGGGTTAGGCGATTTCTGTGGAAAGAAAGAACCCAACAGTCTGGGCAGGGCTCTCTGCTGGCCCCCTGCACAGCTGGGGTGGCATTTCGGGTGGGTCCTCTCTGCTTTTTCCCTTTCAAACTCGCAGTCTTCAAATTAAAAGTGACCCCTGTCCCTGTTTCTCTGTGGGACTGGGAATTCAGGAAGGAGTATCAGGAAGGCTGTGGGCAGCAGACAGGCAGCACCAGCATGGGGGGCTCAGCTCTCAGATGTGGGTTCCTTACATCCACTCATCCCTCAGTGTTGCCTGCTCTTTGTTTTTGGTTTTTTTGGTTTTGCTGTTGTTGGGGCTTTTTGTTTTTGTTTTTTCTAGATTACAGCCCTGGTGTGACCCCTACCACACCCCACATACTCACCCACCCCTTCCCTCTGGATACCCCCGCCCACCCCAGTACTACTGTGAGGCCTGTTAGCTCTGGCCCTCTCTCTGGCCGGCCCCTCCCCACCCTCTGTGGGCCTTGGTGTGGGGGGGGATTAATGAAGCCCAGATGCAGGACTCCTGACTCTGGCAGTAGGTTTTGTAGCACAGCAGCGGCAGCTTGGAGGAGCCATTTACCTCCCACTGTGTCTGGGCCCAGCTGCTGCCGGATCCTAGAGCCCAGGAACAGCTGGAAAACAGGTCCTAGCTACAGGCAAGCCACAGAGGGTCGAGGCCTTGATGAAGAGGAAGCTGGGGTTCAGACAGAGCATGGAGGAGCAGGGAAGGGGCTTCTGACTCACCTTCCTGTGGCTCAGCTCAGATGGCAGCTGCCTCTCTGTACTCTAGCTCTTGAAGTCCTGGGAGCCCTGGGAGCCCCAGCATAGCCCTGCAGAGAGAAGTCAAAGCTAAAACCAGGCAGAACTCTGTCTTCCCAGTCAAAAATGGCGGAATGGCTGGCTGGTTTCTCCTTCATTTGCCAGATGCAATACGAATACAACACATAACACAGCGTTCTTTTAAAAACAGAAAGAAAAACAGATTCTTTATCTGAAATTGTGCGTAACAGAGCATCCTAGACTTTAATTTGCTAAATCTGACAAACCAAGTCCCCTTCCAGCTGAATCTCCTTTTAGTATAATAGCTTTGTTGAACTGTAGTGTACAAACAGACCCCTGAGCCTATGTCTCAGTGGTGTTTTCCCAATAACATGCACATTGGGAAGAAAGGACAGCGTGAGCACACCCCAGGGCCACCAGGACCCCGACCTCCAGCACTCCATTTCAGACTTGATGTGAATGAATTCTCATCACTCACTTCCTTTCGTAGCTGCCATCTTCCCCACAGCAGTGAAGAGAACACGTGGAGGTGGCTCTGTAGCCACCGTTCCGGCTGTTTATCGGGGTGCTTCTGCTCTGAGTACATCTCTCGTACCTGTTGACACGGGAGCAGCACTTAACTTCAGAAACACGGGGTAGGTGTAGGTCTGTCCTCAGTTAATCTTTTTAGTTTTCCAAAGGGATCATAACCCTTCCTGTGAGCTATGTGAGCACCTCATGGTCTTCTCCCACCTCCCAGTGGCCATTTGTCCTTTCCACCTGAGCCCTTCAGATGGGTGTCGGCACCACCTGCTGCTCTTTTAAATCGAGAACCCCGTGCTTTGTTGCTTTGTTGATTCTTCCAGACTTTTTTTTTTTTTTTTTTTACTGTTACTTAAGAAAAATCAACAAAGCCTGCAGAGGTCAGGCCACCAGGCTGATCACAATCTTCACCGCTGGGTGGAGGCTGCCCCGCACCCCACCCCACCCCCTCACCCCGTCGCTAAGGCAAGTGTGGCCCTGTGGCCCTGTGGCCCTGGGAACGGTGCTCTGGAGCCATCATTAGCAATTGAAGTGACCAGGCTTCGTCCCGCCTCCAGAAGTCTTCCTTAAGGAGACATTTCCTAGCACCTACTGTGGCCGCTGTGGCCGCTGTTGCCGCTGTGGCCTGCATCTGGTCTTTCTGGTCCTAATGTCTTTCCAGGGATGTGACTGAGGGCACCTGTCAGGGATCCCTCCATTAGGACTATTACCTGTGAGCCCTTCTCCTCTAAGAGTCCAACCCCAGCCACATGTTCCCGTCATGCTTAACTTCTAGGCCTTTCTCTGCTTCCTCTCTCCTCTTCATTTTACTCCCTGGCATGATTCAAGACGGTAACATTCGAAGTCCAGTTGGGTTCCATTCTGAGTGGGTTCCTTAGCACAGTGCAGTGACAAGTCCGTCCAGAAGAGATAAGAATGGCACTCTGGCGGGGCAGCGGTGGCTCATGCCTTTAATCCCAGCGCTGGGGAGGCAGAGGCAGATGGATTTCTGTGAGTTAAGTGTCAGTCTGGTCTCCAGAGCTAATTCCAAAATAACCAGGGCTCCACAGAGAAACCCTGTCTTAAAAAACAAACCAAGACAAAATAAAACACAGCAAACAAAAGAGAGTGAAACTCCGTGGCATGGCACCTGCCTGGCAAGCGTAAGGCTCTGGGTTCCGTCCTCATCAGAATAAATAAATAAATCCTTTCAAGGGGCTGCCTGCTGCCTGCGGACCAGTGTGTGCAGAGACATGGAACGACATGTTGCAATCTCCCCAGCAAGGCTCAGGTGATTAATTACAGAGTTGTGGCTTGAGAGTTTGACCTGAGGAGAAGTTTGTCCTGTCACCTAGTCTCAAAGGTCCCAGGACAACTCTCAGCCCCACCCTCTGGCTTCTTCCACTCCAAAGTGCTTAAGGACCCAAGCGTTAACATCTGAAGCCCCACTGGGGCCTTCATTCCTGACTAGAAGATGGCTCAGCCCTGAGTCAACACTGACTAAGCATTGCCTTATGGCTGGCCTCAGACACCCGACTCGGCTGACTGAAGCAGGAGACCCGTGCAGGCTCACGAGCAGCTCAGGGAACTAATGGTCTAGAAACTGGGGGTAGCTGGCTTGGGCATTCCTGGGGCTCTTTCTCCCTTGTTCTTTTCTGGCCCGCATGAAGGCTGTCCAGTTGGGAGACAAGAGGGCGGTCAGCACTATAAGGTGACCGTGTCACATTAGCTGCCCCCCCCCACACACACACACAAGAAGTTATACTCTCTTAACTGTCCAGCCGAGACCCAGAGGCTGCTTCAGTGGCTGAGTCGCTTTCAGGTGCATCCCAGGAGCCTGGCTCCTCAGGACGGTAGGAGGGGAATCCCAAAGAAAAGTTTTCTGAAAAGTGGGTGAAAAAAAAAAAAGACAATAAATCCTGATCTCAAGGGACCAATCATCCACCCTGCTTGAAGTCCTTTGAAATTTGAGAGGCAGTGCGCTGGGCAGGACAAAGAGAACAGAGAAGGGAATGTGTTTTTCTTCCTGTTGCCTTTTCCCCTGTATCTGCGTATTTTCCTCCTTAGTTGTTTTATGCCTTCCGTCACTGCGTTTTTCTTCAGTTATTACTTTGTTTATGGCCCAGTCCCCAGGGTCTCCTGCACGCTATGCGCTGTCACCGAGACACACCTGGTGTTGTCGCTGTCTGTATGCGTTTGTTACGCAAAGGAAGGAATGTTGGTCCGCTTTGGAGCAGACCTTTCACCCATTCAGATCTACAGATACGTACAGATCTGAGGGGGTTACAACTCCGAAGAAAAATGTATTATCCTGGCTTGTTGGATATCTCGTCTTTCCAGAACGTTCAGAGGCCCCCTGACCTCCAGCCTACCCCACTCAGATTCTTGCTCTTCTCTCCCAGATTACTTCGAAGCCAACTGAGCCTCACGGTTATTGCCCGGATGCTGGGTCAGCAAGAGGCACTTCCTCTCTGGGGAGAGAAAACCCAGGTGAGTCTGCCTCAGCAGGACCAGGAAGGCCTCTGGTGGGCCACGACCCCTCTTCCCCATAACCTGCTTACACCTGAGCTGTAATCAGAGAGACCATCCCCACACCTAACCTGGATTTGAATGTTTTCCCTCAGCTTCCTGGGGTGGGAGAGGGAAGGGCATAGTATGTGGTAGAGCCCTTGCCTAGCTTGTGTGAGGCCCCAGGGCTCTGTTATCAGCGTGGCAAGAAAACAGCAGCGGTGTGAGGCTGTGTTTCCAGCTACAGGGGAGGCTGAGACAGGAAGATTCCTTGAGCCTAGGACTTAGAGACCAGCCTGGGTGAGGCTGGTGTGGTGGCTCACTCTTTTAATCACAACACTTTAACTCCGCCACTCTGAAACACAGTAGTTTGCCTAACTACCTTGTCCTAGGCTCTAGGATTTGACCAGATCTATGAACACGGAGCCTGCATGACAGTTTATGAATTATGGTAAAATATACATAACATAAAATTTCCGCTTCTTTTGTCAACATTTTGTTTTGTTAGTCTCCCAGATCCTCCTGCCTCAGCTTCAGAGTGCTGGAATTACAAACGTGCTACCATCCCAGCTTTGGTCGGAAATGGTTTTTTTTTTTATGTTTGTTTGTTTGGTTTTAATATATTTTTATTCTTTGAGAGTTCCATCCATACATGCATGCAACATATCTCCTCCTTTTTGCCCTAAGGCTTCCTAGACCATCCTTACCCCATTCCCTCCTAACTTCATTTATAGCCCATATACACACTGATGTGGGACGGACCGTCTTCCTTCCAGGGGCCACATCCTTGAAGAACGCTGGCAGGGCTAGAATGATGACTCAGCAGTTAGAGTGCGCTCTGTATTACAGAGGAGCAGCGCTCACTTCCCAGCACCTAGGAACCTCCCACTCTTCACTTCCCGAACCCTGGTTCCATGACAGGAGAACAATAAAGATGGAAAGAAACACTATTAAGTTTTTAAGCTCCTACCAAAGTCCCCTACTCCAGAGATAGGCATCCCTGGGGCAGTTCAGGCTTCTTCCCGGACTCTCCTCTCTGCGGAGCTCTGAACCTGCCTCTCAGCTCAGAGGCCATAGTCTTCTTGAGGCTCCAAGAATAGGATGGGGAAGTTGAAAGCCTCTTGCTTCCACTAGGGATCTCCCTGGATTCATTCTTGCAGTTTCAGCCCCCCCCCCCCCCATGCCTGGTTCAGCAACACTCAAGAGGCCAGGTACATAGGCAAAGGCACGCCCAGCACATCCCCAAGCCAGTTAGCTCAAGAGTCAAATCTTTTGTGGGAGCTAAGAAAGGTGTCAGTTGGTTTGGTTGGAAGGAGGGGGCTGGGCCTGACTCTGGCTTCAGCTCCCCACTCCCCCTTAGCCTGGAATACTTAACTCCCTAGCATGGCAGGAGCTTGCCATTCCTACTCTAGCTGAGGTGCCATCTCGAGGAGGCCTCCTGGCCCTGTCTGTCACCCTCCCTTACTTGTTTGGTGCTGCTGCATTGTCTTCCCCACACCCCTGTTCCCAGACAGAATCTGGGGCCCCTGAGTGGGGAACCAGTGATGTCTACTTGCTCTCCATTGCCCCTCAGCCCAGGGCCTGGTCCACACCAGGAAGGCAGTGTAAAGCTTATGGGATAAAGAGACAGCCAGGTGAGTGTCAGGGTCCCCAAGGATTAGGGGGGATGACTCGCCAGGAGGTCACTGAAGAAGGGAAGACAGGTTAGGAAGTCAGGAGCAGGGCCAGCTAAAATTCAACCAGACAGGTTGCCCAAGGGCTGCCATGGAAGCCTGCTGTGAAGGCATTGGCTTTGACCAGATGAGCTCACTAAGCCCCCATTGGGAACTGACAGAGAAGGAAAGAAAGTCAGGACTCCAGGGAGGGCAGGGTCCCTGGGACCTCTCACCCAGAAGCTGGGTTAGCAGGGACCCAAAGGTGAGAGCATTTCAAGGCTTAGTGGCTTGTCTTGGCCCAGCAGGAGAACTTCAGGGAGCATGAGGGGAGCCCAGCAGGGTTGCCGGGGCCTGGAGAGGAGCCTCAAGGAGGGAGGCAAATTGTGTGTGCTGCTTGGTCAGGTAGGGAGCCAGCTCAGGAGGTCTCTGCAACAACCAAGAATCCAGGGTCACAAGGCCGGCCAGGCAAGTGGAGCCAGACTCTGCTTCTCTGCTTCTCGGCTCACCCCTACACCTACCTGCTTGTGACCACTGGGGGACCCAATTCTGGACCTGTCTGCTCCTTATACACCGACTAGGCAGCTCAGATCCCAGGCTCAGGCTCAGACACCAGGTGTGACACTTCCAGATGACTCCTGAAGCGGGGTGAGCCGGCTCGCTGTGACCTGGGTGACTAACACTGCCTGAGGATAGACTTCTGAGAAGGTACCTGAGCCAGGTCTCAGGAGATGAGTCCCTGCATGCTGAGTGTACCGCCGGGAGGAGAGAGAGAGTCAGCGGTGCCTCTGCAGGGAGGAAGACCCAGCAGCTGTGTTTAGACTCCCGCTGCTGGTCTCTTCCTGATGTCTGGTCACCAGGCGAGCTCCTTCCCTGGCTGGCCTTGCCTTTGAAGGACCACTTTGACCCCCCAGCCACCCATGTCCCCTCCACACAGCCATCCTTGCCCATACCTCCCTTGCACTGAATGCACACAGCCCTGGTTGTGCACTGGTCCCTCCTTCCACCTGTAATAGTTGCGACTACCATGCAGGCAGCACTCACTGTGTTCTGAGAACTGTTCACAGCGCTTCCCTCCCTCAAAACCTAGGACTGGAAGAGCTGCTACTCTATCCATGTGTTATAGATGGGGAAACTGAGTCAGGGAAGCTACACAGCAGGGAAGGGGGAGCCAGGATTAGAATTGTGCCTCTGACCACTGCAGCACCTCACGTCATCTCAACCTCTCCAGCCTCTTCCTGGGCTCTTCACAGCCTAAACCATTGTGAAGGGACTTCTGGAGTTGACTCTTAGAGAAGCAGAGTCCTTGGGTCTGAAGTGGGTGGGAGGGGTTCTCAGTACCCAAGCTGCCACCTGTCCCCTCTGTCCCGGTCTCAAGCCACAGCCTGAGCCTCAGGAGCAGGAGGACCGAGTTGGAGAGCTAGGCTGGAGAGACAGTAGGTCGGTAGAATGCGACAGCCCAGCTCTTGCGTTTTCCCGGAGAGTCCCGGGGTTGGACCAGTCATTCCTGTTGTTTCATTGAATACTGGGAATACTTCAGAAATAGTCGCTGTTTAGCCTCAGGCCCCAGTGTGCTCTAGAGTCTGGTTTGGGCAGGAAAGGATCTGAATTGAATGACGTCCCTCTTCCGTGCTAGTCTTAGTCCCAGCAGGCCAACAGAGGCGCCGAGAAAGAAGTAACATTTGGGGCAAACTTGCAGAGAATGACAAATGCTATCGGGGAAAAAAAAGTTTAAAATTTTTCCCAGAAAGGGGGAAAATATCATTGGGTGGGTGCGGTTTTGTAAAGGCAAGGAGGAAGGGAACTTTGCACACAACTGTAGGAAAACCTACCTTGGTGGGGGAGGGGGTCGCTTCCGGCTGAGGAAGTAGGAAGCACAAAGGCCCAGGGGCTCCAGAAAGGACATTTGGGTTGGAGGGAAAGCACAGAGATTGGTGTGGCTGGAGCAGAGGGCTGAGGGCAGAATAGCAGGGGCTGAGGTCAGGGTAGTTAAGAGGGAGCTCCATTAGCCAGAGCCCTAAGGCCATGGTGAAGCCACGGGCTTCCAGTCCGTAAGGAGAGACAGAAACTGAACTGTAAACAAGTTAAAGCCAGCTAGCCATTGAGACCCAAGTGCTAGAGGATGAAGCAAGGGGCGAGGAGTGGGCAGGGCAGTTGGCTTGGGGGGGGGGGGAGTAGCAGAGGTGGAGCATTGGGAGCTTGGCAACTGCTAGGTGACTTCCCAAGGACAGCCAGCAGGCTCCAGGGAGCAGGGGGAGCCCTCCAGGAACCAGACTTGGAGGGAAGGAGACACCCTCTCAGCAGCCAGGCAAGACACAGGTGGAACAGGTTTGGGAGGAAACTCGGAGTTTGTTTCTTATACCAGCCTCTTGCAACACAGAAACAAGGTGAACCATTTTGTAAATATGTATTTACTATTGTGTGTGTGCACACACCACAGTGCCCACATGGAGGTCAGAGGACAGCTGCAGGAGTCCATTCTCCTGTCCTCTCCTTCCACAGTGTCGGACCCAGGGAGCAAACGCAGGTACTCAGGCTTGGCAGCAAGCACCTGACCCTCTGAGCCCTCCTATCAACCATCATTTGGAGATTTGCTCCTGCCTCTGCTTCACAAGTCCAAAGTTTACAAGAATGTGCCATCGTGTCTGGCAACTTTTTTGTTGTTTTGATTTTGTTTTTGGAGACAGGGTCTCTCTGTGTAGTCCTGCCTGTTCTGGAACTCACTCTGTAGACCAGGCTGGCCTTGAACTCAGATCCACCTGCCTCTGCCTCCCAAGTGTGGAATTAAAGACATGCGCCACCACCTTCAGCCTCAAATCATGTCTTGAAATTTGGAAAGCAAGGGTTTTGAGTGCCCCAAATTAAGGGGGATATAAAAGTTTGAACCTCCTCGGAAATGGTTAACTAAAGTCCTAATGCTATTTAGCCATTCGCTTGCCTAATGAATACTTAATAAGCATCAGCCGTGTGCCAGGCATGGCGCTTAGCCCTGTGTGCACTGCAGGAGACAATGCTGACCTCTCAGCCAGGGAGGCGGCTGATAAGTCAGGACACTAAGCAAGCAAGTTCTGTGCCTGCAAGAGGGTAGATGATGCCATAGGGAAGAGGTGTGCTGGGCAGGGGACTGGCCAGGGTGGTAAACACAAGTACTGTAGGCTGTGGGTTAGATGTGACAGTGGACTCCACAAGGCGGGGCCAGTTCTGCAATGCCTCTGTTCAGACACCACAGGAGGGACCAGGCTCCAGAGAGCAGCAGCAGGTCATTTGGGACCTCCTTCGTGCCTTACAGCCACCTCTCCTGTGCAAACTGGAGCCACTGCCAGGATCTGAGAGCAGGAGACACATGCTGTGTAGACAGTTGCTCTGCCAGGATCTCCTCCTGCCAGGAGACTGGCAAGGCCAGTGGAGGCCTGTCCTTCTGGGTGATCATCACTTCTTGCCCTGAGGTGTCTGCCCTAATGGGCTGAGTGTTTGCTGAGTTGGCGCTCTGCAGTGGAAGTAGGGGGTGGGGGTGGCAAGGGTGCTGTTGTGGTCCTAACCCTCCCTCTTTGCAGACCAGAGAAGCCTTCATCCAGGAGAGAGGGTGGTATGTGGGGGCGGGGCAATGCGGGAAACAAAAGAAAATCTGAGACCAGAATGCTAGATTGCACTGAGGCACCGCCAGCCTGCTTTCCTGGGGCGAGAGGAAAAATAAGAGTGATCAAGTGAGCCTGGTCTGTGCTTTCCCTACCGGCCCTGCCCCCAGCTTCTAGAGCAGGGAGAGTCCTGGCTCTGCTGGGGCGGGCCTTTAGTCGGTCACTCTGGGGGCGTGGTCTTCGAGGCAATGCAGGGCAGTCCAGTGCTTGCACAGCTGTGAGCAGCGAGCCTCCAGCGTGCGAAAGGGCAGGGCTGTTTTGAAAATTATCCCAAAGGCTGGCACAAGGCAGTACTGCTCTCGATGCAGCCCCAGATGGAACCTATCTCTGCCCAGATCCTTCCTCCCCGCTTTTGCTGCCGTCTTTCCACACTGCAGAGAAGGCCTGGCCTCCTTCCAGGAGCCAAAGCCAACCTGACTACCAACCAGCTCCTCATCCTCCTCTCCCTGCCCAGCTGCTCTCCAGGGCTTCTGAGGTTGAGGGCAGCTGAAGTGCTGAGCAGGTGCTGGGGGGGTTGAGTCACAGGAGGAAGCCAGGTGTGGCGCACCACCCGGCTGGGCTCAAGCTGGGAGCTGGGCTCTGGGCTCAACCCTCTTGCCTGTGGCCACAGTGCACCTGCTAGATCTAAGGAGCCGGTCCTCTTGAACTACCCTGACGCTGCCCATTCTTCCACATCCTCCCCCATCCCTAGGGTTGCACATGGATGGCTTGGAGGGACGAGGACTGGGGCCTACCTGCCTTGACCCAGCCATATTACAGCATCTGGGCAGTCCTTGCAGGGACCCTATGTTTGGGGTGACCAGGGGGAGGGGCTAGCTTCAAAGCCTGTTTTGTTCAGAGGGGTTGGGCAGTTCTTCAAAGCTAAACAGGGGGGTGGGTGGGGTGCCTGGTAGATTAACAGATCAGCCAAATCCCTTTGTAGACCTTGCAGGGAAATCCCCATCTAAAGGACCCACTGAAAGGAAGTTTCTGGCTGAGAAAACTGAATATAGATACTGGATGAGAGTGAATTATTGGCTATTTTGTTGGACAAGAAAATAGTATGACTTTTTAGGTGTAGCGCATCACGGCCGTCTGCGCTCCATGTGCTACCATACAGTTCGTGAGCTGGGCAAGGGGCTGGAGATTGAAGCACACAAAGACTCACAGATACAGAGAGAGACACAGGTCATCCTTGATCCCAAGAATGCCCCCTTTATTGTGTCCAGGGACTGCTTATATAGAGATCCTTAACTGATAGCCACGCCCCAGCCAAACCCACCAGAAACTCCCCTGCCATCAAGGAGGGTCCCAGAGCAGAGGAAAACAAGTTGTTTACAAGAATTCCAGAATCTGGGGGTTCACTGCTCCCAACATTTAGGAAAAGAAAAAAGAGGACTGGGCAGGACACACATCCCAGTACTCAAGAGGCAAAGGTAGGGAGATGGCTGCGAGTTTGAGGCCAGCCTCATCTGCAGAGGAAGGACCAGGTCATCTAGAAAGAAAACAGAATGTGCTAGTGAAATGGCTCATTGCTCTAGAGGGGTTTGCCACCAAGCTTGATGGCCCAAATTCAGTCCCCAGACCCCACTCTGTTCTAAGAGAAAACCGACCCCTGCAAACTATCCTCTACCATCTGGGCGTTTGCTGTGGCTTGTTTGCACGCACACTTGCGCACAAATAACATGTAATAAAAAAAATTAAAAGAATTGCCAGGCCCGGTGGTCCATGCTTGTAATCCCAGTACTTAGGCAGAGGTGAGAGGGTCACAAGGTTTAGACCAACTTGGGACACAAGGGGCAACCTTGTTTCAGACAAACAGCTGTTGGTATTCTTGATAGTGTTATATCGTGGGGGACCCTCATATATATATATAAACTTCTTTATGGCTCAGAAGACTCAGTATTTGGCATTCCTGGGAGGAAGAGTGTGGTATAGATGCAGAGGAGTTAGGGACAGGCAGGCAAAGCGGTTGTGGTTGTGGCTCACAGGATGGACAGGCAAAGCTATGGATTGAAGAGGTTCAATCTTTTTCTTGTGAATTGAATATGTTGCAGCAACAAGCTAAGTGACAAAAAAGGGATACAGGGGAGAGTTTGCTATTGGCCGAAGGGCTGCTCAGGTGGCGGGGGACCCACTCAGTGGCCAAGGTCCCACTCAGGTCACCGAGATCCTGCTCAGTGTCAGAGGGAATCTTTCTTACTCTTAATTTTTCAGGGAATTAGGGTAAACCTTAAAGTCTCGGGAGAGATTCCTACTTCATCAAGTTAAGGAAGGGCTCGCCCTGTGCTAGGTACTGTGTGTGTGTGTATGCACATGTGTGTATGTGTGCATGCTTGTGTATGTATGTGTATATGTATGCATGTGTGTATACATGTGCCCCTGTGCACACACACATGCTCATATACACATCCCTCCTCCTAGGAAGAAGTGTGGACCATTTGAGGGAGGGAGGTCACACACACAGCTCAGAAGTGAGAGTCAGATGCAGGTCCTAGAAACTTGGCTATGACCCTTGCCACAGTTGAGGGCATCTCCCAGAGCTGTACACACACTCAGTCACAGTCTCCTTTCTTCTTCCCAGCTAGCCGTACTCAGCCATCTCCTCAGCCTCATGAGACCATCATCCCTCAGGCAGTATCTGGACGCTGAGACCCTGCCATCCTCTCAGGGGAAACAGCCAAGGGCCAGTGCTGAGCTTGACTACAAGGTAAGCATCTCAACCCCCTGCCTGCCTTTACCAAGAAGGACCCTGCTACTTCATTTAACGGGGAAGGCGGGGCTGTCTCTGTTGCACAGCCTGTGGGGCCTGTGGTCCCTGGTCCTTCCAGAACCAGAAGTCACTCCAGGACAGAGGCCAGCGGGCTACCTTCTATGTGGGGAGGGGCACCCAGTATCTCTCCCAAGCCTTTTTTAGTCCTTTTGCCCACCTGTGCGTGTAGGTGCAGGGGAAGCCGTGGGCCCAGAGCTATGCCTAGTTTCCCTGCTTATTCCCACTAATTTTGACCAAGGCTTAGCCCTTGACCTTTCTCCAGTTCTTCCAAAGAAGTTCTTCTAAGCCTTGACCAGCCCTCCCAAAAGGCAGTGAAGTGCCCTGGGTTGGGAGGTTGTGGGTTAGGAATTAGCAGAGGCCTGTGCATCCCCAGGGTTAGTGTCAGAGCAGGGACCAAGGTGACTGTGGGGGCTTTCAAGTGGATCTTCCTGGGTTCTTCTATCCCTGGAGACTCAGGATAAAGATGGAGATAGGGATCTTCTAATTCAGGAAGGCAGGGATTCAAAAATCTCATTCCTGAGGTTGGATATTAACAATTCAGAAGTCCAACCTTTGGGCATCACTCTGAGAATCAGATAAGTGAATTAATTACTTAATGAACACAAATGAACCATTAAGAAGATAGGATAATCCCCACATGCACAGGTACACACTACCCTTCAGAACGCGCAGGGAAGGTTGCCTTCGCCTTGGGATTTGTCTTAGTGTTTTTACAAGGCTACAGTCTCCTAGGAAGGTGGGGGCCATACACACATCCCTTGTCCTGTGCCAGATATTTCCCAGGAAACAGGAGTGGATGACACAGACAGGTTAGGAGACCCTGGGTAGGTAGGTTGTCATAGCTGGATACTAGAGACCTCGAGGTGACAAAAAGGGGAGGTAAGAGAAAGAAGCAGTTGCCTTCTGGCTGTCTGCGAGGAGACTTTGTGGCCTCCAGGAACCTTCAGGCCAGGCTGGGCCTCACCCAGCAGGGGTGTGGCTTCTACCGAGCCCCAGGCTCCCACTGGGCTCACCACATTGCTGACCTGCTGGTAGTAGGGGCAGAAGGTGTCTGTGTAGCAGTTGGGATGGGAGGATGAACAGGCTGAGGAATCCTTTATTTTGAAGGCTCCAAGCACAGCTACTCCTCGCTCCTTGGCTGCCTGTTAGAAATCAATCGTCCATTTTGCCTTAAAGCTGGAGGAGAGCAGAGCAGGCATCCAGGGGTGCTTACTCCCCCAAAGCAAAGGGCACACTGGCTGGGGACAACAGTAGGGGCAGGTGGGGCTGCAGTGGCTTTTAGAGCCCCTGTGCTGCAGCCGAGAGCACCGCAGAGCCTCTGGCCCCATCACCTTGACCTCTGCTGGTGCAGTGGCTAAGGGCAGAGGCAATCAGGACCAGGGGACAGGACAGAGGGTTCTAGTGGAGTGCCGTAATAGAAGTATGAAATGGTTCCAGCTCGGTGCCCTGGGCTGGGTGTTGTGGTGGCTGGGAGGGGCCAGGCCGGGCAGGTGACTAGGTCCCACTCCACCTCAGCCAACTGACTCCTCATTAGGCCTGAGCGTGTTTCATCTTCAAAGATGAGATGGGGCTACTCACCAGCCAAAATGAGCAGAGGCGTCATCAACCCAATTTTACAGGGAGTGGTGGTCTGGGATGGGGCAGCCTTTCATCCCCAGAGCTCAAAGTCTTTGCCTTTTTGCTTCTCAAGTGCAATGGGGAAACTGAGGCCAGAGTTCAGGTCAGTTGGAGGTGATCAAGCATGAAGGAGACAGCTTCTTCCCAGCCTTTGAGGCTGCAGTGCTGAGCTTCTGCCTGTCCCACACTAAATACACTCCTGTCTGGGAGATTTCCTGCCCTAAACTGCAGGGGTCACAGCGCTCCTCCAGCCCTGCAAATAAACACTTCTGCAGACTCTTCTCCTGGTCTTCCCACCTCCTCCCTCCCCCAGGGGAGAGACAAGGGCACAGCATGGCTCCACTGTTGTCCCTTTGCGTGGCTGGCTGTCTAGCTGGATTGTGGGCACAGTTGTGTGTCTCAGCATGGCATGTTTTTGCCACTAAGTGAAAAACCGAACAAATGAATTGTATTTCGTCACTCTTCCTCTCTCCTCTGGTGTGGCCATCTGCTCTCCTGCCCCCAGTTTTGAAACTGCCCTCCCCCCTGCGCTGCCTTTGACCAGTGATAGCCCCCTGATCTCTTAATATCCTTGTATCATTAAGACCACAAGCATTTATGGAACCCCGGACTTCAGAAGTATTACCTTGGGTAATGAGAGAACCAATCACAGGGCATTGTTGGTAATTATAAGTTAGTGAGGTTCCTGCCTGGGAAAGCTAACCACCAAGTACTTTAACAAAAGAAGCAACTGCTCAGGCTTCCACTTTGTGGGGGGAGGAGGGGAGAGCTGGGCTGGAGGCAGGGGCAGGTTCCCAAGAAGGCCATTCGTCCTAGCAGGGTCAAAGTCACTTACCATGCTATTAGCACATACAAAAATATGCTTGAAAAACAAGACGTTTAGTGGAGGGCTGGAGTCTAACTCAGTGGTAGCATGGTTAAGGAACATTATAAGATTGAGATATAAGATTTAACACTTTAAAGTGCCTGGCTCAGTGCCTAGTGCTGCAGTCTAGGCTGTTCAAGAAATTCAATGGTGGTACACATCTTTAATCCCAGCACTCTGGAGGTAAAGGCAGGTGGATCTCAGTGAGTTCAAGGCCAGCCAGGGTTTCACAAAGAAACCCTACCTCAACCACCCCCCCCCAAAAAAAAAAATCGAGGCAGGGAGACTCATTCTCCCAGCTCAGGAGTTCAACTATAGCGTAGTGTCTCATCTCAAAATATTCATATATTGTGCCAATCTGCTTGATGACTATCTGTTCCCTGGGCTTGCCCGGTTTGAGTTAGCCTTTCCTAGAGTGGAATAAACATGTAGGTGAGAAGATGGGGCTTGGTACCTCCTAGCAACAGGCAGGCACCCTGTCTGTCTCCCAGGTGGGAGATGACAATGCTTACACAGAGGTGAGTATAATAACACTAAGGCTGGCCTCCCAATGCTTCCTTTTGGCCCAGGGATGTGATTCTGCCAGAGACGTGTGTCCTGTGCGCCCCCTCCCTCCCCCCGTGAGACTGGCCTTCTGGCTGCAGGCAGAAAAATATTGCATAACTTGAGTCAATTTTCTCTTCCAGTCTACCAGCTCAGCCCTCCAACCCAGCACTGGGGTTTCCGGGGGCATTTGGTTTCAACTATGGTGTTATCTGAATGTGGCCAGATTTGGCCTAGTTGTATTATATCCACTCCTGGAGTTGAGTTGTGACCCATTCAGTTTTATGGAAGTGGCTGATGTTTTGGTCTTGTTAAACCTGCCGTTATGTTTCTTGTTCCTGTTTAACCACAGTTATCAAATCATCTTTGCTTTTTCTCCCATGTCTGTTGCTATGTGCAAATGCATTTACTATGCATAAGTGTATAAACATATATGAATGTATGTGTGTATACATGTGTAAATATATATACTTGCACTTTTTTTCTGATACTGCTTACTATCATGATACCCTGTCACATTTTAAGCATGTGCTTACTACTGAGCTGCAGCCCAGCCCAGATGCTATTTTAGTGAGGTTTTCCCCGCTTAGAGATTTGGAAGGTCTAGGGAACCAGAATCTTGATGGTAGGATGGGAGAGTCTCTCTAGTTGGTTAGATTTGAGGAAGTTAAATGTCTCCCACTGTGGAATGAAAACTGAGGATAAAAAGACCAACTTGGCACTGGGAGCCTACTTCCTTTTCCCCTTTTCCCCGTGTGCCTCCTCCCAGCCTGGTAGTGGATGCCTTCCAAAGACGAGAACTCGAGGCTCACTGGGGACTGTGCATCGGTCAGTCACCTCCTGCAGGTGCGTCCATTCCTTGTGACTTTCGTGGAGGTCCCAGGCTGCAGAGACTTGGGAAAAGCTTGTTTACGGAGGATCAGTGTTTTCAAAGAAGCGATTTTATGGAGGTGGGGTGTGCTTTTGACTGTGGGTGATGCTGGGGATAGGCTCCAGCCAGCTGCAACTCTATGGAGGTGTGTGTCTGCCCAGCTTGGGCAGAGGGTGTGGCCTGCCGTGTGTTTGTGTGCGAGTGCCCTGTGCATCTCCTGTAAACCCTGTGGTGTGCCAGGTGTGTTGGGAGACCTGGTGAACAAGTTTTGCTGCTTTTGCTGCTGCGACTGTAGACAGCAGCTGTCTGTCCCTGGGCTGGCTGACCTTGCCAAGAACTGCCTTAATGGGAGGTTGTGGTAGGGAGAGGCCAGCTCTTGCTGCAGGGACAGGACAGGGTTAGCTGCCCTCTGGCATCTCTGTGCTTGTCTCTGGCCTCTCTTGCTGGTACGTCCAACCCCAACAAGGGGATGTATGTTCCCTGGGGCTTGACTTGAGCCCCTGTGTCATTTGCAAAGACAAGCAGATCCTGGAGCCTCTCCCCTTGTTCTTTCTCACCTGAAAGTATAGCACCCCCCCACACACACAGCCTTCACACACACACACACACCCATACACACACCCCCACACACACCCTCCACACACACACCCCACAGTGCTGTAAACTTGGGTCAGGACAAGGTTAGGAGAGCCAGGAGGAAACTGGATTTGAGGAATGGAAAACAGACATGCAGACTCCTGAGTTCTTCCTGTCCAGCCTGTGGTTCTGTTCCATCTTCCTTCCTCCAAAATGAGCAGTAGCTGCATTTTGTCATAAACCTGGTGGCCTCTGAGAAGCTGACCCTGCAGATGAGTTGAAGCACATGCAAGTCTGGGAACCTGTAGACTCAGGCCCAGGCCCAGGCCAGCTTTGCTTGGTTCCCAGAAATCTGAGTTCTTTGCAAGAACACGAGCAAGACTTGCAGCGACAGGGTTAAGCCCAGGAGGCAGGGTGGGGTCCCAGGGAGCTTTTGTTCAAGCCCAACCAGCTGGAGGGTTGGCC